GAGTCCAGCGGGGAACAATCTGATCCTGAGCTTGTGGTGGAGGTCCGGCGGGGATCAATCTGATCCTGAGCTTGCGGTGGGGGTCCGGCGGAGATCACTGCGATCCAGCGCTTGCAGTTGAGGTCCGGCGGGGATCACTCCTCTGATCCTGTGCTTGCTGTTCGGGTCTGGCGGCGAACACTGCGATCTAGCGCTTGCAGTTGAGGTCCGGCGGACAGGGCGGAGGCGGAGAAGGATGGCGGGACAGGTGACATGTTACCCTGATTGGATGTTCCCCTTGTTTTGGGGTTTGCTTTGCTTCTAGGGTTTTGCTTTTTCCTCATATTTGGCAGCCAGACATGCTGCCATTGGGACCACAAACTTAAGCAAATGCTGCCACAATAGCGGCAGCCACTGAGCCCATGCTGCCGCAGTAGCAACAACCATTGAGCCAATGCTGCAGTAGCAACAACCATTGAGCCAATGCTGCCGCAGTAGCAACAGCCATTGAGCCAATGCTGCAGTAGCAACAACCATTGAGCCAATGCTGCCGCAGTAGCAACAGCCATTGAGCCAATGCTGCAGTAGCAACAACCATTGAGCCAATGCTGCCACAGTAGCAACAACCATTGAGCCAATGCTGCCGCAGTAGCAACAACCATTGAGCCAATGCTGCCGCAGTAGCAACAACCATTGAGCCAATGCTGTGTCACACTAGCAGCAACCATTGAGCCACAAACATTGAGCCAATGTTTTGCTAATGAGCCGATGCTACCACAAATCCAATGTGTTACCTGCGTAAGAAATCATTAAAAAACAAACAATCTTTGGATGGCTGTTCTCTCCACACTGTGTGTTTGTATTGATATTAGGTCTGTATTTGTGTATATGTAAATACAACTAATATCAACTAATTCCTTGTGGGGGTGGCTGGATTTCCGAGATCAACGACGTTTTCACAGTTTTCACCAATCAGGATGAAGGACTCGTCAAGCACCCATGTAGGTAACATCATGGCTATGGCCATATCATGTTTTTGAGGGGATCCCCCACAGTGACAACTTTTCCGAAAACGTCAAAAACTTCAAAATGAACCCGTTTGAGTGGCGTTTTTTTTTACATGTTCCAACCGTCAAACTCAACACACCTGATGAGATTCCCTGTGGTCAAAACCATTGTTCCACCAATCCGTTTTTCCTGACCCAAAGCACCTGGGAAGGGTCACCGCCAAGTAAGCGCTCAATTAAATGGTTGTGGGGGGTCCACATGTAAGTCTTTGTTTTTTCCGCTGCGTCTGACAAGTCCGTCCAACCACGACTTGGTTGATGGGTTCCTAACTCACGGTATTCCGCATTCTGTGGGCATGGGCTGGTTTTGAAGTTCGAAATCAAAGTTCATGTTTGTTCAAAATGGCCATCGTGGCACAAAGTTTTTGTGAGATCACTCAGCATGCACCACTTTTTGTGGCCCATGTCAGCCCCCAGTTCTATCAAAATCTGCAGCCAATATCAGAAGATATTGCCAGCCATCCTGACAGGTTGCAAGCGTAAGAGGGGTTGGAACAAGCTGGATATGGTTGGATTCAGTTGAGCATTCGGGTTCGTGGATTGCATCTTGTTTTAATAATGATAATATATGATAATGATAATATAATGTCTAATCTGGGGGTAACCCCAAAAGTCATGTATGGCTAATAAAAAAAAGAGCCCACATGATTTATATGTTGTTGTTTGGTGTGTTCCAGTAAGCCCCATTGACGTGGTTAACAAAAACCATTAAACGTTGTCTACCAATCACCTAGATATTGGGGTGTCCCACAACAGTAAGTTTGTGATTTGGATGGGGTTGATTGGGATTTCCCAACGCTTGGGTGGTTGGGATATATGGGTATGGATCCAAATTATCAACCCGCCAACATGGATGATTTCCTACTAAAAATGACAATTTGTGTGGGACAAATGGTATCCCATTTTTGACCCATAGCCATTGGGATTCCCCACAGCCGTAAGTTGGTGACGTTGATTGGGGAATCCCTACTTGGTTCACCCAAATATTGGGCTGTCCCAAATCACCAACTTTTTGGTGAATTCCAATCACCTAACATCACCTAACTGGTGGAGAGCCCCAATTGAGTCCATCCAAATCACCAAATTTTGGTGAATCCCAATCACCTAGACCTAAAGATTGGGGAAACCCATCCAAATCACATTTTTTTTGTGAACCCCAATCACCTAAATATTAAGGAATTCCAATCAACGCACTCCAAATCACCAACTTCCGGTTGTGGGGAATCCCAACACATCCCCACCACCCAAGTGTTGGGGAATCCCAATCAAACCCATCCAAATCACCAACTTACGGTTATGGGGAATCCCAACATATCTTAACCACCCAAGTTTGGGGAATCCCAATCAAACCCATTCAAATCACCAACTTACGGTTGTGGGGATTCCCAACACATCCCTACCACCCAAGTGTTGGGGAATCCCAATCAAACCCATCCAAATCACCAACTTAGGTTGTGGGGAACCCCAACATATCTTAACCGCCCAAGTTTGGGGAACCCCAATCAAGTCCATCCAAATCAACAATTTTTTGGTGGATCCCAATCACAAGTCCCAATCAACTCCATCCAAGTCACCAACTTACGGTTGTGGTGATTCCTGGTTCGGATTTTAAAAGGGAAGAAGCTGGTGATTTGGGATTTGGGATTTGGATTTAAAGTCGATTTGGATTCCCTAATATTTTGGTGATTGGGATGCCCCAAGCCACTATTATGAAGGGCTTCCCCAATTTTCCCCCACTTTTATATGACTGGGATTCCCCAATAAGTTGATTTGGTTTGGGATCCCCAAACGTATTTGTGATTTGGGTGGAGTTGATTGTTGATTGGGGCTTCCCAACATTTAGGTGATTGGGGATCCACCAAAAATTTGGTGATTTGGATGAGATTGGGACTCCCCAACAGTTACTGTAGGCGATTGGGAATCCCCACAACCATAATTTGGTGATTTCGATGGGGTTGATTGGGGTTCCCCAACATTCAGGTGATTTGGATGGAATGATTTGGATAAATTAATAAACAGTGATTTGGATAAATTAATGATTTGATGGTGATTGGGATTTTCGACAACAGTCATGTGGTGATTTGGATGATCAATGATGCTCAACAATAACTGGGTGATTTCCCATGACCAAGCGGGGGCCTAATCCACGTCATCGTCGTTCTCGGCACTCTCTTCCTCGCCGCCCTCGCAAGCGTCGGCCTCGTCAAGGGCTTCGTCATCGTCATTTGGGGTGTTCAAGTAGCTCTCCACCATTTGCTCCTGACATGGTGACATTTGATTTTTTGATATTTTTTGGAGGAAAAAAGTCTGAAGGCAACACAGCAATATGCCAAGATCACTACTTAACAGCACATATAAAGAACATGCAGAACACATCACAACCACACCTGCAACGTCCGACCAGCTTGGACATTTCCAGCAGTGCGGATCAGCTCAGCTTTCACTGCATCCTGGGACCGAAACGATATTTGTGATGACAGAGTTTGGGACGAATATGTTTTTTTCAGGAATGAACAGGGCATTTCCTACTTTTAGCTTAGCTGCGACAATGACCTGGCGGACTTCGTCGGAGAGGCCGGGCACCGGCTTCAACTTAGATGGAAGCCATGGAGTTATCAAGGTGGAAACATTGGGAAAATCAAACGACTCCAGTGGCATACCATAAACAGCCATAAACATGTGCCTAGTCACAGTCAAGACCTGCTTACCATCGACCTTGTATCCGAAGGTATCCGTGTCCTTGTACTTGTACGTGTAAACCTTGAGCTTCTTGGGTCCTGACTGGCCTGCTGTTGTTGCAGCTGCTGGTCGTTTGCGGGCTACGGGTTTTCCTGCAGGTTTCTTCATGGGGGTCTCTTCCACTTCTGGTTCCTCCTCTCCAGCATCTGTTTTTGAAGCTCCTTGGTTGGCATGTGACTTGTCTACCCTTTGTTTTGCTTTGGGCTTTGCTTTTGGGACTGTCTTGGTCTTGCTCGACGCCTTGGACGTTGCCTTGGGCTTGGGGGCGTTCTTTGCTGCAGCAACACTGGAAGACGAACCCGTAGGTTTGTCAGTAGCTTCATCATCTGACAGTGCATCGACAGATTGAAGCACCATAGCAGCGAAAAACTTGTGAAAACCTGACCCCGACATGTGGCAATTTGAAGGGGAAAATGGCTAGGGGCTTCAATTCGATTCGAGATGAAAAAGATTGTCCTTTGAACATGACTGAGATCAAAACTGTACTTCTTGCTTTGAAATTAAGTTGCGTTATGCTGCGATTAAATGCACAAGATGCAAACTGCAATCAACTATTGTTGCCGTATTTTCCCATGTCACATCCAGTTTGGAACTGCCAAATGCCGCTGTAGCAGCACGTCCACAAGCTAAATGCCAACCACGCTCATCATTGCTTGGACAGTGGCACAAAATTGAGTCAACAATGAGTATATGATAAGTGTGAAAATTTAAATGTGAAATGCCATCATCTTCTGAACAAATAACCATATTTGAGAAAACCATTATACAGTATAAAATTATACGTTGTGTTTTCAGATCTCACCCAGCCACCTTCCATCAAAATTACGCTTCTGCGTTTGAGCGTTTCCCACAGTCATCATTTGACCTTGACTGCGGTGGCAGCATCAAGTGTCAGACTGCCAAGAAGATAATACTTTGGTTTCAACGGCGTCACCGTAGCGGGGACACCCTCTCCCACCTTGACCTGGCCAGGTGCTGAAAATCAAATCGCCAGTTCACTGTGAACGGATGCTTGGCTGAGGGGATGAATTTGGGATCACAATGACTTGAGACCAATGAGGAATACCAATGGGGTACAAAACATGCAAGGTGCTCCCCCAATTATAAGTTGGTTTTGATACACATCTAACTATATTTATAATTTATAATTATTTATATTCCCAATTATATTCCCAATAACCCTAGTTAGAAAGTTATAAAGCCAACTTGGCTAACTTAGGGGGGCCTTCTTGTGGGAAACCCATCTATTTGACCTCCAAAGATCCCCCTTGCCTCCCAAATTATATCGGCGTGGGCCGTTTTGGGAAGCTGGCTCATCCTTCCATTCCAAACAGCTCCAAACATAGCGGATCTCAGGCTCATCCGGTCCTCTGTGTCCAGGATATCTTTTGGCTTAAAAGCGTTCACTTTGGTTTCAGGTCCCACCCGGTAACGGTAGGACAGAGGAATTTGGCCTCCGTCTGGGCCAACCTGCCATGGGAATGTTAAGGATTTGACAAAGCTCAAGTTGGAAACTGGATACACACAACATTATTTAACATCATTTGCCCAAACACTCTTTTGGGGGACCTGCAGGGAATGATTATGGAATGATTCTAGCCTTCAGCTTCGCTTGAAGGGAATGATCGATCATTCGCACTTCTGTTACTCCACGCTGTTTGGTGACTTCGCACATCACATCAGCGAGCGTGTTCAAAACCTTGGAACCCGATGTAGTGTCGCACACCAGACTCCGATCATCTTTGATGCACCATGAAAGGGAACCAGCTTGGGCGGCACATTGGTCTGGCAGGGTTGTCACATATGTTTCCAGTTTTGTGTGGGAAAAAGTGTTCATGTTGTTAAAAGTATTTTAAACTGAAATATCAACAAACTGTTGTGGTCCTGAAGCAACTTCGATGAAGGTTCCAGTGTTGAACCCAAACAATTCACCAGGAGGCAGATCGATCTTGCTGGTGGTACGGTTCAGCAACCACAAGCCCCCCACACTTGTCAGCACCACTTGCACATTGGGATCCCTTGCCACATTGGCGGAGGCTTCCAACCTGAGTAAAGCTGGCTGATAGCGGGGAATGTATGACTTGTCCACGCCCCTGCATGTTTATGTTTGAGATTGTTTGAGCAATCATTTCCAAAGATCCCCAAGGAAAAAAATGTATAAAACAATACCATTGGGGTTCAAGATGCGTGTTGCCCGCATCGAAATCAGCCATGGAAACCGAAGACAGTAAAACTGATTTCCTCCAATTCAAGGGCGGGTTCCCATCCCAGTCTGGAGATGCCAAAGTCCTCTGCATGGTGCCCCCGCCGCTTGCCAAGGACGCAGCTCCCTGGTGGTTCTTGATCGCGCTTTTGATCGCAGTCTCCTGGTTGATCTTGTCGGTGATCAGCTTCAGGGAATCCACATGGGTCGACTGGTACTTCTGCTGGATCATGTCAGGGATCCTGGGATCATACTTTGGGGCGACAATACAATCCCTTTAAAAATTGGTCAATATTCTGGGTATCATCCCTGATTAATTTGTGGATTTGGGGTTTGCAAAATCCATACATTATGTCTAAGAATCTTCACATCACCATCGGAGACGGTCAGGCACTCCAAAGTAGGCAAGTCCTGAGAAAATTCTTCGGCTGTTCGGGAGGATGGGCCAGCGTCAGGTGACTTGTCCCACCATTGGTCCATCATCCGCCCAGTCAACAAAGACTTGTGAGCATCCATGTAAGTGTCATTGTCATGGTACAAGGACAGGGTTCTGACATCCCACTGCATCGCACCATCTTCCTTCAGAAGGTAGTCCCGTTGAAGCTCCCAAGCTGCCTGGGTCCATTCGCAAAACCTTCAGGGAGAGACGGGGGATATGAATATATTATGATTGCCTAATTTTTTGAAACATATGTGCTGGAACTTTTTAGTAACATTCTCCTTGAGGGAAGCATGTCAACGATGAGAACTGGCTGCTTCTCCTGAATGTTCATGCCATCCAGCAACTGCATCAGTATGAACTTTGTGGCTTCCACCCCGCGCTGTTGAACCTCAAGTTGGTTGTTAAAAAAAACTCACCCAAAGTATTTGCTTTTAGTCCTTCGGAAAAGGGTTTTAAGATGGAAATAAGTACCCCAAGCATCCCCAAATTTCTTCTTAGCAATGCCCAAGAACCCTCCAATGAGGTGCCAAGGCTTTGTCAGGGTCAGGGTTTTGAAGATCCTGCACCCTTGCCCTGGGGACGGATGCAATCGAGCCAAGGAGTGCCCGAGACTTGGCGAATGCCGCGTTCGAATGCCCAGAGACACCAGCCAAGCCTGGTCCCGGTGAGACACCAACCAAGTTCTTTGGGCATATGGGTTTTGCGGATGGTTACATGAAACCACTTAAAACATGTAAAGGTATTGGTTGGCAATAAAATAATAAAAATAGAAAACCATTCAAAAATCTTACAGAATGATTTCATGTGACACTGTTGGCTCTTCTTTCTTCTGTCACCCTGGTGCGCAGCATCTTGGAAGTTGACAGCAATCTCATAGACATCCATGGACCTTTCTTTGGTCAAGTCAAGAATCAACCCCTTACCTTTAAATTAATTTCTACCCCTGGACATCCCTTAACTGTTTGGGAAACTGAAAAGTTGGTGTTTACTTGGCTCCAATAGGCGAAACGATCTTGTCCTCCAGCAAACGGCGGTTCTTGAGGATAGATCCCTTTCCCATCGACGAGTGCCATTGGGGTAGCATCCAAAAAGAGACAGTGTTGGCATTGCCACTGGAGATTCCCTGGGCAAGTGTCACCGATTCATCGATGGAAAGGGCTCCTCAGGTTTGATCTAAAAAGCATCTAGAAAATCTTGAATATGATTGAAGGTTATTTCAAACTTCCCAATATGTTTCAGATAATTCAAAATAGCAATCAAATTTTCTTCTAAATTCTTCGCAGGGACTGGAAGGCCACAAAGTGCAGTCGCCCACCAGGATAGTAAGCCTGTGTTTCCCCCATTTTCCCCCACCTGTAGACCCAATCAAAAAGTGCTTTCAGATTCTCAAGGCTAATTATTTGGGATAAGGATTTGAGATGTTGAGATCTTTTGTGGGGTTATGTGAGTAGTAAATCCAAAATCATTTCAGGTGAGAAACCCGTCTGACCCCATCGTTCCTTGAGCTTGCACAATCTGGGCATGTGCAAGCACCAAGGACGAGCACCGAGCAAACATCATCTTCTCATCCATGTGGGCCACAATGGAGGACTTGCCACGTTGATACCGGTCGTTCAGGTATTTGAAATCCATCGTGGCCTGCAATGTGGCGAATCTATAGGAACTATGGTTAACCCAATGTAAACTATGGTTTACCCAATGCTAACAATTGGTTGGGAAGCTAGATCTTCAAGTCAAATGTCTTCAAATTACATGGCCATATGTTGCCTGCTTGCTCGCAAAGAGCTGGAAGTGAGAACTCCATTCACGCAGTTTTGCCAGATCACTCTCGCATTGAAGTTCCACTTGTTGCCATGTAGTCTGGAGCAATTGCGCTGAAAGCCTTGTTTGCCACATAATGCCCCAGAAAATGTCACCAAACCATTAAAAAAAACTTTTAAGTTAATGTGGTCGAAACAAAAAGGTATTAGATGAACATACCCCAAGGACTGCTGGGCTCGGGCATCGTTGCTCTTCGCCACCTGATGGGGGGTATAAACAAGTACCAGCTATAAATAAGATTAAATAGTACCAGCTTTGGATCCTCAACCAACCATCCTGACAAGATAACCAAACTTTGGTTGTACTTTGATTCCCCCACCTCCTGGTTGTACTTTGCCAGTGGCTGGGCAAAGATTGACACCTTTGAGATGTCCGCCCGAGGAACTGACTCCTCCAAGAGCTGCAAGATGTCCGCGTCACCGTGCCTCATTTCAAACCTTAGGGCACAGGGCTGGTTACTTGGGGGTGCAGTTACATTTATAAGTGGATGTATAGCCATACTTTTGGAGGTTATATCCCAACTTGTTGTGCCCATTTATAACCCCAACTGCACCTCCAAGTAGTGGTGGGAAGTCATGGGATGTCATGGGCATGGGATGGTTGCCCAAAAACTTGATACAGGGAGAAGCAAAAACCCAAAAATTGAATAAAATTGATCCTGAATAAAGAAGAGGTTACGCTTTGTTGATCTCAATCAGGGCTGATGCAGAAAACTTCTGTGGAACTTGGCTCTGAAACTGCTCCAGACATGCCAAGAATCCCCCACACACACGCTGCAATTGGCCCTCAGGTTGACTCAGGTTAAAGACCCAGGAAAATGGAGAAATTTTGGGGGGAGGGTTTGCATAAACACCTTTTTGATCTAAAACAAGTACAAAGGTACATAAAGGATTGGATCAAGTGTCCAGCTCTTTGGAATTCCATGCCTTGCGAAACTTTGGGGATGTTGAAGTGAAATCACGCTCCATGCGGAGCAGCATCAGCTCGAGCAAACCATTCGTGTTGGTCAAAGCGGTTCTCCATGGAAGTAAGAATCCAGTTGCGGTACTGTGCCCCAAATTCATGAGGTTGTCAGCTAAAGCTTCATGGGTCAGGAACTTGGGTTGTGAATATCTCCTTAGTACATGGTGAATGTTGGAACCAGTGTTGACAAATATTCCCAAATAATCCCAAACATTATCCCAATATAACCACAATTATTCCCCAAATAATCCCAAAGTTGGATTTGAAAAGGGGTTTGACATGATTGACATGGATTTCCCAAAATGTAATCAGATTGAGAATCCGAACCAGCTCGATCAATCCCTCCTTCACCAAACCGGGGATGTTCCGAAGCAAATTGATGGCTGCCCGGGATTCCTTGTCACCCAGTGAGTATGCTGTTGCGAACTTCGACACCGATTCGTGTGCCTGAATCAGCGGTAGATGTTATGGGACCCCACAGGTAAGTTCCCAAATCTGGTTCTTCCCAAAACTATCATCCCTTTCTTAGGGTTTTTCAGGGTCTTCATGGGCGGTCCCTAATTCCAACCCATAACCAACCTCCAGAGTCTTGATGGACATGTCCTGGTTGAGGCCAGTGCGCTCCAAGAACTCCAGCTGATGTAAGAGGTTGAAGGCGTTTGGCTTCCGGCGTAGCTGTCCCTGAAGGGTCACACCTTGGAAACCCCAAAGGCTTGGGAATCAAAATGACCAAGAGTAGATTGAATTTTGGTATAACTGGGACATATGGGTTTGTCTCAAAATAGGGGATAATCACCATTTAGTAGGGAAAATGATGATAAACCACTGGGATTTCGGGGTACCATATTTTGAGACAAACCCAGATCATATGGCTGAAACAAGCCATAACATGCCATTATACTAACCATCATCTTGGTGAGGTGACAACAAGATTGAATCAGATATGTTCTAAATATTTTAAAATTACTTCAGATATCACGAATGAATCAGCTGGGTGACCGCGGTTTGTGTTGACAACAAGATTGCCATCAGATTGCACCGCGGTAGCATAGACAACTGCGAAGGACCTGACAAACACTTGAGCTGTTTCCGGAACACTTGAGCTTCTAATCAAATAGGACTTGAAACTTGAAAAATGTGTTCCATGTTTCGGTATTGGAACATCCAATGGTATCCAATGTATACCAGTGTGAATCCAGGGCGCTGTCGAACTTCCGCTGGCAGTTCCTGCCACATGCAAGATCTAACCCAGCGAACAAGCCCCAATGTAGAGACATGTGCACTGAAACCGGTTTGGGATGTTTTTGGGAAGCCCCTCCTGTAGCAGCCCCTTCTCTTGGAAACACGCGTACAAAACCGTCAGCATGCAGACGCTGCGGTTCCACCCCTTCACCATGAAGGCCCTTCCTGGGTCTAACCCAGACTGGCCAAAGTCAGAAGCCTGAACTTTGGTGGCACGTTGGTTCAGCCACTTTGCTGACACCTGACATGATACTAGTTTCTCCACGCCAGGAGTGTTCGGATTCGACAGGAACCCGTTGAGAAGTATCAGCTGAGCCAGCGAGTGTTGGGTTTCCTGAACTAAGCGAGAAAACACTTGAACATTTTGCAGAACTTCAAACGCGATTCGGGAGCAAAATGCACATGCCCAACTTAGCAAAACAAACTGAGTTTGGTAAAGGGTCGCCATCAGCGGTGCCCCTCAGCCCGTAGTCCCCTCTGAAAGGACACTGCCATGGCCTCAAGAAAAGACTGGCTCCATCCTTCACCAAATCCGCCTCGCTGGAGTAAGTCCTGAGCATGGAAAAGAAAAGGTATATACCAATGTTGGGAGTGATAGTAATTAAGCCCAAGACAATGAAGGGTCCGGGGGGAACTCAGTTTCAATGAACTCGAAGAACTGCTTCTGGGTGTCCTAGCAAAAAAATAAGATGCTGAAATAATTTCATTGGAGATCATTGGAGCTTTTCTACATAAACTATCAGACCATGATGGCATCCCGAACCTCCAAGACCAGTGCATCCTCAAGGAATTTGTCCATGGTCATGTTCTGCTGTGTCACGTTGTCGTGCCTAAAGAATCGTTGAAAATTGGAAATGGTCATGGCAAATGGTTCACAAAACATACTTCAAAAGTATAAGTTGAATCAGTACTTCAAAAAATGCGGCTGAGATACAGCCACGTGTCAAAAATCTGTATGTGAGGCAACAAGACAGCATGAGGTGGTACAGGCAATGCTTGATTTCCACCAGCACCACCACCCTTTGAAGTCCTGGCCACTTTGGGCTTTGCCTGTGCTGCCCCACCGCCAGATGACTTCTTCTTCGGAGGCATTCCTGGCAAGATCAGGCAAGGCCAGGGGAAGTCGGTACAAACTGAATCCAATCAAACAGTGATTTTGTGCAGGACTTCCCGAACATACTATTGATTTTGTGCATGGGGGATTCTTCACAAAATGAAGCACCAGTTAGACACCTCAGTTTGTGCCGAATCACGACCCGATCCTGCACAAAATCACTGATGCTCACTCAATGTTCACAAATAAATCCATCCACCAATGGTTGACTTACCTCACCACACATGGAACACATGGATTTTGTGCCGAATCACGACCCGATCCTGCACAAAATGGGTTGGTTGTCAGGTGCTCCAATTTGTGCCGGATACCCCATGCACAATCATGATATGTTCAATTTCAAACTCTTCACAAATCACCCTGATTGATGTGCCAATGCCCACTGTATTTTCCAAACATGACTCCTCGTGTCTAAAGGCAAGACGACTAGACTGGCCACAAGACCCTGAAACAAAGGCTGAAATTTTACATCGTGAGTTTTGGGATGTGTTGATTTCAAGTCAACATCAGGGAGCTTGAGTCTTAGGCACAGTTTGCCAATGCACTCCCCTGCAAAGGCCCTAAAGCCGGGATGCCATGTTCACAGCATCGCTAACAATTTTGATAGCTCTGGTCATGTCTACCCCTTGCAGCCAAAGCTTTGTCGCTGCTTTGTACAAAGCCTGCTGGTTTCTAGATTGATTGTACCGCCTTGATTCATCAGCCCCGGGTCTCTCCCTCACAAGCCGCAACCGGTTTGGTTCCTTGGACCCCGAAGCGAAATCATCATCAAGAGGGAAGTGATGATTGGTTGGAGATTTGGACTTAGCCCCTGACTGCTTCCAAGCACCTCCCTTGAACGACAGGCTGTGCAGGTCTGCCAACAGCAGGCCCGCGCTGGGGCAGCGCCCTTGGTGTTGGCTGTGAGGGTTACATCATGGCACGGAGGGATGAATGGAAATTGCCATCGGTTTTTAATATCATTTGGGATCCCGACCAGCTGACATCCAGCATGGAATGGTCCAGCATTCCATAAGACATGTTCTCCAGTTGGAAGGCTGCATCGTGCATCTCAAACGGGTACCCGCCTTAATTCGGAAGGGTATATCAACACATGTTGATCTAAGAAGAGACATGAAGAAACCAAACCCAATTCGGTTTAAGTTATGTCATTTTCCACTTGGGTTGCCCCCCAAAACCCCCCCACCAAGTGGTTTCAAAATCCCCAAAAAATAGCAATATATTTGGATTTTGAAACCACTTGGTGGGGGGGTTTTGGGGGGCCAAGCCAGTTTAAGGTTGTGGCGCATCAATCCAGCATATTTGCGCAATGCCTTGTTGTCATCAGACTGGGCGTTCACGGGCGGCTCGATGAAGCCTACGACATGTTGCGCATGTTGGGAGATTATGACGATCAAAAGAGTTAAACATATTGATGTGAAGATAGGTCATATCACAATAGATCATAGCAAAATTTCCCTATGATATGCTTCCGGGACAATGCATCAATGTTTGTTGGGTCAACCCTGCCATCTATTTTAAATTGTTCAACAGTGATACGATGTGGAATTACTCGCACACACATTCAGAATTTCTGATGCCTGGGGGATAGTCTCCCTGCACTGCACGTGCAACCGAGGCCGGAAGGAAAAGAAACATGTGGGGCTGCCAAGATCCATCGCTCATCCACTGCTTCGTCCTGTGGAGCGGACTGGGGTCAAGATGGATAACCAATCATCGGGATTTGGTAACTGTGATGTTTGATTTGGATTTGGATGAATAAGGGACTTCAGCAAAAATGTGCAAACAAATGATTCAGTCATTTGGTATGATATGGATCCGAATGTCCTCAAGATGACATCCGAAGGGCTTGGTGTGTAGCCATACTTGTCCCAAAATTTGCAATCCACTGTCTCTCTTGGAATTCCTGCCAAACGATGGGCAGCGGGATCAATAATCTGTGTTTGATGAGTTGTCTCATGACCGCTCATGACATAAGACAATTGTAAGACTGATTTCTCCTGTTGAACCAATCCTTTCCAGTCTCATCGAATGGGGCGCCCCCGGGCCACCAATCCCAGATAACTGAGCAAACTGAAAGTGATGGTGGAGCCAAGTCTTCCTGAGCGAAGGGCCAAGTCACATTGGGGTTATCAGGGGATGCTATATTGAATGATATCCCGCAAGTATTGTTGAAAAATGTTGAAAACAGTCGAACAAAAAATGAAAAATGCATCTTGTACAAACGTAGTGTCCAATCACGAAATTGGTTCAAAAGCACCACATTACGCTCGGGTTCATATGGCCGGTTTCTGGGATCATTGAAAAAGGTTTGGAGACACTCTCGGAATGCCTTTGGTGTCCATAGTTCCTTGTTTGCCTCCAAGTGTGCCCTGAGTAGGTTGAAAAGGGCATCCACGTCTTCGTGGGAATGTCCCGAACTTAGAAAACTAAGTTCGGCTCCAGAGATTTTGTGGAGGGCAGTCCACATTGCAACAAGGCGTAAGGTGCCGTTGTTTTTGATTTCTTTCACACAATTATCTGCTTGTATATTCAAGAAGCATGAAGTGAGATCAATCTTCTTGGAAATTGTTGTGAGGCCCGCACAAAGTATCTCCGCTGAACGTGAAGAGTTGGTGCTGACCAGGTGTGGGGATAACGCCACCAAGCAAAGGAACCCATGAATCAGCAAAGTTGTACTAGCTAATCGGGGCCGTACAAATGAGCTGAACTCCTTGGAACTCATCGATCGGCTTCTCGGCCATGCATGTTTCTGAGCATCCATCGAATCTAAGATCATGGTAATCTCACATTCACCCAAGGTGGTTGCACTTAACCTTGAACGAGCACGGGCCCCCCAATAGATCTGTCTGTCCTTCAGCTGACGCTGGAGGTGGCGGTGGAGCATTGCATGCTGTGCTCTCCTCGCAGGTGGGCAATGCCCGAGTTTTTTTATGATGAGTCTGTGTTTCACACACTGCGAGCACCGAGAGTGGTGGGAGTAGAACCGAATCCGGAGCAAATGCTCGAAATCGCTTTGCCAAACCTCGGATACGGTTTGGAAATGGTGGAAAGCAATGATGGAAACTTAAATGGGTTGATTTCAAACATCCCAACTGAAGAAAAATGCTTCTTGATACGATCAGTTTTAAAAAAAACAACATCATATGAGTGAACTATGGGTTTAGCAAATGAAAGATGACACCACAAGTTTAAGCAAGACTCTGAGCAAAACAACTTCCGGCTTACCCCAAGATCTGGTAAGGCAGCTGCACACTGCCGCCAATAGTCATTGATGGTGCCATGTGGAAGGTGTTTCAATTGAGAACGATCAAGATCCGGGGCATCAGTTTTCTTGTCACCATGACGGGGTCTCTTATTAGAGTTCAACCCATCGGGTATCGGCTCGGCTGCTTCTAAGTAGAGTTGCATCAGGAATCCATGAACCTTTTCCCACTTCAAAGATGGGGTCCGTTTTCCCCGAATAATGCATCTACCATCATATGGGCAGAATTCTTCTCCCTTTCGGGCTGCCGTGCTCAAGGTTTTGAAGCGATGCTTTCCCAACCCAAAGATCTTCATGAAGGCCCGATTGCACACCGGGTGTCCCAGGAATCGGAGGTGCCTTGAGCCTCTGCAAGACTCTCGATCTTGATCTTGAAGGATCTTGAAGACCTCAGTGGCACCACAGTGAGAGGGTAAGTTTGACAGGGATCACACTAAGCTTGATTTGTACATCACATGGCCAGAAACTGTATTAAAGGTAGGTAGGTCCCTGACATATTGATCTTTCTCGAGCTTGGTCATGCCAGCTAGGTTCTTCCGAGTTCTCATCCAGGAATCCACATGAGAAGAGTTGGCACGGATGGCTGAAAAACATCCAGCTTTACAACCGCATTTGCTCCTGATAAGATTTGCAAGATATCTTGGTTCAGCTGATGCTGCGTTCTTCCCAAACCTTGAAACCTTCAAACGAAAGCCTTTGCCAGGCATTCTTGGAACCGATTTCTTCTTCTGGGGCCCCGGAGGAGCGGCCACATCATTGGTCTCATTGTCGCTAAGCGTATCAATGGGCCCAAGCGGCATCCTGCAAAGATGTTGGTATTTTTTTCGACACACATAGGTATGGGTCAAAATTATCAAACCCTATGTATGCGGGACAAATGGTACCCTATGTATGGTTTGACAAATGGATGGTTTCGACAACAAGTCTTTTCAGTTCCTTGGCCCAGGACGACATTGGCCATCATCGGCATGAGGCAGTGTGGGCACTAAAAACAGGGCTGGCTTCTGACGGTGATCCTCTGAAAGCGGTTCTAAAACAGTTCTAAACTAGTGATGGGATCCGATTGGCTTTATTCTTGCTAGTTTCTGATCATGAGGGTATCATCAAAATAGAACTTGGTTAATATGAAAAATCAGAAAAATGAGGGCATCACAAAAATATACGTTGTTTGATTATAATGCACATTTGTTGTGCCCCCATTCATTGTCCCTGACATGCGGTTTACCTTGGGAAATGGCAGCGTGGCGGCTGCAGCGAAAACCCCAAACTGTAAAGAACCACTGGGTTTCATTCAAATCAAAGTTGCTAAAGCACGCCAGCATCACCCAGCAACGGCCGAGAGAAAGCAGGGGAGTTTTCCCAAAAACCCTTGAGACAAACAGTGGAATTCAGAAGAAACACGCTTGACAACTTTTGGACGACATGCATGGCCAACAATTGTTTTGGATTGCATGTGCATTTGAGTGCTACATCAAATGGTGCTACAAATTTGTTTTCCCCACAGTTCGACGCGTGTCCCATGGGGATGTCATCCCAGGGAACACAAATTGCAGTCATTCACAAATTAAATTTGGACACATCCTTCTTGAGCTACTTTGGCCACATAGAAGACAGGCAATGGCACGCATAGTTTGCCATTGCTGGAACGACTATGTTACCGCAGACCCCCAACCTTTCCTTAGCCTCGGGGGTGATTTTTTGAGTCAGCCACCGTTCTAAGGGCGGTTTATGGGAGCCTTTCATCCACTTCCTTCGAGGCAACTTTTTCAGATCCGCCGTGGACATGAGTGAACTGTCCTGGCATGGTTTGAAAATCACAACATCATAAACTTTGTTAAGATACTGGTACTGGCAATTGAAAGTGCACTTCTTCATCGTTTGATGACTGACTGTGAAATGAAGAGTCCTGGAAAAAGTTGAAATTGGGTCTCGCCAAGAGCAGGAACACACGCTCTCTCCATATCTGGGTTGAGGAACAGGTATCTTTCTTTGTATCTATGTATCTATGTATATGTATGTGCGTGCATTCATGCATGTATGTGTTAATGCATCCGAGAATGCAGTCTGGTAATGTCTTGTATACATGTACGGCATGAATGCATGCATGCATTGTAAACAAATGTAATGTAGGTATGTTTGTATGGATGCATGTATGCATGTATGTATATGTGGTTAATGTATGTATGTAATAAAAGTCTGTATGTAATGAGAGTGTTTCATGAAGTACGAAAAGAGTGTAATGAATGTGTGTTTGTGTGCATGTATCTTTGCATCCACGCATGTATGTATGTATGTATGTATGTATGTATGTATGTATGTATGTATGTATGTATTATGTATGTACGTCTATATGAATGAATGAAAGTATGAATGAAACGAACTGACATGACATGAAATCAAAGAATGAATGACGGACTGACTGAACTGAATAATTGAATGAATGAATGAATGAATGAATGAATGAATGAAATGAATGAATGCATGAATGAAGGAATGAATGAATGAATGAATGAACTGAATCAATGAATGAATGAATGAATGATTGAATGAATAAATGAATGAAGGAATGAAGGAATGAATGAATGAATGAAGTAAGGAATGCATGAGTGAATGAATGAAGGAGCGCGTGAATGAAATGAATTTATGGTTTGATGGATGAAATAAATGACTGAATGAATTTATAAATGCATGAATGAGTGAATGAAAAAATGAAAGAATGAAAGAATGAAAGAAAGAAATAAAGAATGAATGAAAAGATAAATGAAATTTGTGAATGAATGAATGAATAAATGAATGAATGAATGAATGAATGAGTGAATGACTGAATGACTGAGTGACTGACTACCTGACTGAATGACTGAACTGAATGAATGAATGATTGAAAGAATGAATGGTTGAATGAAGGAATGACATGGAATGGAGTGGAATGAAATGAAATAAAATTGACATGAAAGGAGAGAAATGAAAGAAGGAAGAAAGAATGAAAGAATGAATGAGTGAATGAATGAATGAATGAAGAGATGAATGCACTGAATAAAATGAATGGAATGACTAAAATGAATGGAATGAAGGAATGAACGGATGAATGAATGAATAAATGAATGAATGAATGAAAAAATGAAATGAATGAATGAATGAATGAATGAATGAATGACTGCTGAATAAATGAATGAATGAACGAATGAAATGAATGAATGAATGAATGCATGCATGAATAAATGAATGAATGAATGAATGACTGAATGAATGAATGAATGATTGAATGAATGAATGAATGAATGAGAGAATGAATGACTGACTGAATAAATGAATCAATGAATGAATGAATGAATGCATGAATGCATGAATGCATGAATGCATGAATGCATGAATGCATGAATGCATGAATGCATGAATGAATGAATGAATGAATGAATGAATGAATGAATGAGTTGTTATGTAAAGTAAGTATGTATGTATGCATGCATGCATGTATCTCGGTAATTATTCAGGTGTGGAGGTATGTAGGTAGTATGTATGTATGTATGTATGTATGTATGTATGTATGTATGTATGTATGTATGTATGTATGTATGTATTTATCTATGTATGTATGTATCTATGTATCTATGTATCTATGTATCTATGTATGCATTCATGCATGCATGTACACTTGACAGCTAATGGTTGATGTGTCTCAAAGCCCTCTGAGGGTCTAACTGGTGCCCCTACTTGGTGGCCGTTGACCGTCGCCCAGGTGAGCTTCAATCCACGCATGCCTGCAGCCTGCACGAATTGGAAGGTCATGGCCGGGGGCCAGGGACACACACACTAGCCTCCATCAAGAAGTTCATGACAGGACGTAGTTTTGGTGACAATATCGAAGACACATTTTCCAGAAATAGGAAAGACCTGGGATCATCCAAATCCAAAGATCAAAGTACAGGCGGGTAACATGTCAAACATATATATATACATATATATATATACATATATATATACATATATATACATATCATATATATATGCACTTAATATGTATATACAAAATGACCTGTCTTCTCATTTTCTTAGTCAAGGTTCAATGGATGTCCTGCAGCCTCCGCTTCATCCCAAAGTCTGAAAAGATGTGTTACCAGGGAGCTCCTGTCATCATCTAAGCCACGTTGTCCACCCGCTCTTGATATTCCCTGGTCAGGACTTTTGGCAATCGATTCTGGGAAGTCGGGGGCCCTGGCCAATGCAAAATCCACCAACCCCCAGGCCTGACATGGGAACCCGGCCAAATATCCAGTGATATTTGGACCAAGATCCCGTGCATGGACCGTGGTGATATCACTGTGAATCACGCCCGGATCACAAAGTCCATCAGCAATTCTCTGGGCTATCAACTTTTGACAGAATGGAGACTTTTCCACCTGAGCTAGATGATGGCTATCAATCCCGGAAAAAGTTTGCCATTAGCAACTGCGAGACTAAAATGGCTCATGTTTGGACCATTCCCTTCTGAGTTTCCCGACGTAGCAGGTAACCGTGACAAACCTTGCTGCAGGGGCTGGGATTTCAAAACTAGGAGAGGGCTGCAAAGACTAGGTTCTGAACTGCCTCATTCCCAGCTCTAGTCCACAAACACCAGAAAATAGCGAGGCCACTCGGTGCTTACGATCCTGCATCATCAAGTTATTGTTTTATTTGATATCATTGAACTCCAAATATGTTTTCTTATGTTTTTCCAAAGCAAAGCAGGCTATGTCCTGATGATACTTTTCAGAAAACCAAGGGTATATCTTCTCAAGCTGATCTTTGACACTTCCAGGCTCCAAGCTCGTCCAACCGATTGGTAATCCTGCAAAATGTGAATGAGGCGAGGCCAGGGCCAGGGGAATAAAAATCTTAAAAACAGTGACATAACATCTGAAGCTCAATCCTGCCATGTGTTCGGCAGTCTCTGGATGGCAAAAGATTCCCTTCTGAATGCCTTTGGCCTTACACCTCTTGGAGTATGCATCCCACCACCAAACCTGCGTCGCGAAATCCTTAGCACTAAAACTTTTTATCTTGTCACATTCTGCAAAGTGGGTGCAATTGACTGAGAATTAGACGCGACTTCCTCTCACACTCAAAAAATTTGTGTTTGCTCGCCAAGTAGACCCAAAGCATCCTAAGCCAAATGACAAGGCTGCCGGCGTTTCCTGATTGATGTCTTGATGGTCAGTGAGTCAGGAGCTCAGTTCTGGGCTCACTGTCCCAAAGGAATGGAGAACCATACGCTTGGTCACGACTTTCCCCTTGCTAGGTAATTTGCTACCGGCTTTTGGTTTCTTTGGCACCTCAAATCACCGACATGAGCCCACATGCAAATGAGAAACGAACACAGCAGCTTACCTCAAATATCTGATATGATTGCATCCAAAAGTCCAACGTGATTTCATATGGGGTCCATGCATCTTGTGGCAAGAACCATGGGCGATGAGCCCGCCATGCTCCACGTTCTAGACATTCACCATACTTGGGAAGGCGGTCCACCTTTCGATTCAGATTGAACCCAACCACTCCCCAAACCCAATGAGTGCCAACTTCCGAGGCTGGCCTGAACCTCGTCGTCATGGTTTGGCCTGAGGTATTGGAAATGGGAAGTTGGGTGAGGGGAGAGAAGCTGAGGTATGTACGGATGTTGCTGCGGCTGCATGGGATAATCTTCGCACCTTAGCGAGCCCAGAAAGTAATTAGTAACACATGTGGTATCAAATATCCTCTGTACCACTGAGTATCCTACTCGCTTAATGAATCCACAGCTGCAAGGGGCATGGCTTCAGAGAGGGATGTGTGGTTTGCCAAGAGCACAATGCGTTTATAATGTGCTTACTAAAGTTTAATTATTTTTAGGGGTTGTTTTTTAATTATTTACATTCCGTCACAGCCACCAAAAAAGGCATTGGTGAATTGGAGATGATGTCATTTGAGGATATTTGAGGAACATGGCCACCCTTCAGAGCGACGGGGAATGACAGGAAATCGCACCTTGTGACAAACAATGCTGACTCAATCAAGTACGGAGACTCAGCTGTTTTGACACCCGCAGTTGCAGTGCAACACTTCATTTGGCCCTGGTATTTGTTGCCAGCGCTTCCCCACCCCAAAGTTCAACGTACCAACAACTTTGTCAAGAACATGGGATCACAGCGTTTTGTGCTGTGATACTGCCGGTTAGCCTCTTGCATGACACCCGACAAGATTGAAAAAGACTGGACAGGGTCGGAGTCCGCTGAGGATTCACGCTCCAAGAAGATAAGCGCCTGAGCAGTGGCCATACCGCCGTGGGGATGGGGTGACGTGACATCAACCATATTTGAAAGCTACCAGATCTGCATGTAATGTTTTTCATACTTCTAACATCATTGAGTCCCCAACGTGGCGCAGCACAGTGGAAAGAAATGCTTTCTTGGACAGAATGTGTTGAATGTCCTCACTTGGCGGAGTGACCTCAGCTTGAAAAATATCACTGGGTAACGTGTCACACACACTGTCACATGCATGTCTGATGGACAAGTCGAGGTCAGGGCAGGGATGAAAATCGATACATGAAATATATGAGTAAATATATGTAGATATTATGTATCTTGCATGAAATTCTTTGAGCAAGAACCAGATGGTCGAACCTCATCATCATCCGTTGAAGCTTCAACTGGGTCAGCCTGACTTCGACTGCTGGGCGCAGTGTTTCACTAGTTGCTGGTTGGCAGGACTACTGGGTCTCCTAATTCCAACATGTCTCCAATGATTTTTCAAAATCCAAGGGTTGGACCATAGCTTTCACAGGCCGACGGAGTACCTGTCGAGACACGAACATGTTGCGAGACCTGGGCCGTGGCGAAGCTGGGTGAATGACCAATTTATAGTTGGCGATATGGTGAAAAAATTGAGCCCGGAACTCTGGCGACCATTCGAAAGCGTTCTTAGTCAAAAACATTCACATCAGTTGTAAAAAAAATTGGGATGGAATCCGATGACAAACAGGAATCAACTAAATTCAGCCCAAAATTCAGATCTGTGCAGCGATAGCTCCGGAGACCGGGATCGGGATCGCGGAGATGGAGATTGCACCTCATGATTCCCCAAAATTGGATCTACCCCCAAAAAAATTGTGCCCAACACGCCTCTTGAATAAACGTTCTTGACATCATAGTAGGTCGAAAGCCTGGGCCGGAGGAAGGCTGAAGGGAAGTCCCAAATAGAAAACATTATGATGGTCCCATTGTTTATACCCACTATTATGATGGTTTAATTTATTTGACTTCAATCATGGGTTTGGAATTAAAACTTTTTGAGATCCTCACGAAAAGAGGCCCTCTCCAAAGTGTTCAGCAGGCACCCTGCCAGCGAGAACTGACATAATCCACATAAAAAAATCCCAGGAAAAAAACATGTAGAACATAAGCTGAAAAAAACATGAAAAAACCAGGCCTCTGCTCTGAGCTAGGGGGTAACGAGTGGATCCCAACACTTCACAAAAAAGGCCGAAAATGGGCCAAAACTGAGGTTCGGCCGAGCGAGGGGGCAACATCAACTAGGTCCTTATCAATAGTACCTCAATGTTTTGGGTTTTTTGAGTCTAACTGGTGGAACTATTGGTAAGGACCTTTCTGAATCAACACAACCCCGTTTTCCCCTGGGGTGGTATCCAAAAAACACGTCTCTCTCTGTTCTCTCTCTCTCTCTACGTATACACACATATTATAATATGCGCATATACATACATACATACATACATACGTACGTACGTACGTACGTACGTACATACATACACACACACACACATACATACATACATACATACATACATACATACATACATACATACATACATACATACATACGTACGTACGTACGTACGTATATATATATATATATATATATGTATGAATATATGTATGTGTGTGCATATATATATATATGTATGTATGAAGACTAGACCCCCTATAGCGACATTGGCCCAAGGTCAGTTCTGTTGGCAGCATTGGCTCAATGTTGTTGCTGGCTGCAACAGCCCAAGAGTTTAGCGCAGCATTGGCTCAATGCTCCTTTGCTAGCAGTGATGCTTTGGCTCAATGCTGTTTTCCTAGCAGTGATGCTTTGGTTCAATGCTATTTTGCTAGCAGTGATGCTTTGGCTCATTGCTCACTATTGCTGGCAGTGTTGCTTCAAGCAGCTCTGTTGCCCAAACCCCCAGAAACAAAGCAAACCCCAAACAGGTCGGGAACTTTCATATAAAAAAACAATGGCTGGGTCCAGCGGCCGGTTTTGCACTTTTTTTGCACGTTTTTGCACTTTTTTGCATTTTTTTGCACTTTTTTGTCATCTTTTGTATCCGCTTTGTATCCTCTTTTTTCCCGAAGAGATCCTAATAGTCACAAAAGGGAAAAAAAAAGGGGGAAAAAGTGGAAGAAATGTGATCAAATAATTTTTAAAATTCTTGAAAAATGACAGAAACTGTGCATGAATATGTTGCAAAACATATTCGCGCATCTCAATCTTAATCAATATGTTTGCGCTGCCATTTGGCGTTTGGCCTTTCGCAGTGGGCGGATCCTGGTGTGGTGCAGCTCGGGTGATCAAGAAGAAGAAGCAGCGGCCAAAAAAACAGGACGAGAAAACGTTTTGTACATTTTGACTTGCAAATGTGCTTCGCGCCACAACTGCGTGCAATTTTTCATCTCTCATCTGGCCAGCTGGCTCCGCACCCGCTGCTTTAGCGAGCCTACTTTTCGACCCTCCGGAGCCCCAAATCATTGGAAAAACGCAGTGTT